GCGTTGTCGTTGACGTCGGTGATGTGCAGGGTGATGGTAGTGCTGGAGGAGAGGGGCGGCTTGCCTCTATCGGTGGCCAATATAGTGACGTTGTATTCCGGGATCTCCTCCCGGTCCAGAGCCCTGTCTGTCACTAGCTTGTAGTAGTCCTTCGAGTAAGATTTCAATAAAAATTCTGTCTTTCCCAATACGCGGCAGTAAACGTCTCCATTTTCCCCTGAGTCTCTATCTCTTGTTTTTATCAAGGCGATCACTGTTCCTGGTGGGGAATCCTCCGGAAGGGGAGTAAACACTGAGGTCACAATCACCTCAGGCGCACAATCGTTCTCGTCGAGAATTTCGACCTGGATACTGCAGTGGGCTGCTAGCTCTCCAGGATCTTTCGCTTCTATACCGAGAGTGTAACTACTAGCAATTTCAAAATCAAAATCATTCTTTGTCGTGATTTCTCCTGTTCTTTTGTCTAAGGTAAAAAATTGTTCCACTTGTTCATCCACATTATGAAAGGAGTAGGTGACCTCCGCGTTCACGCCCTCGTCCTGGTCGGTAGCGGTCACTCGAAGCACGGAGAATCCCCGGGGCACGCCCTCCTGCAGGCTGACCCTGTAGACATCCTGGCTGAACACTGGGGGGTTATCATTGGCATCGATGACTTGGATTTGGATCTGGGTGGTACCACTTTGGGGTGGGTCCCCACCGTCCACAGCTGTTAGGACCAGTTGATGGAAATTTTGCTCCTCTCTGTCCAGAGAATGTTTCAGAATCAACTCAGGATATTTACGTCCATCTGGAGCCTGTTTTTCTGCGAGATCAAAGTACTCATTGTCACTGAGGTGGTATCTTTGCAGTGAATTAGAACCAGCATCCAAATCCAGGGCCGGGTCTAGTGGAAATGTTCTACCTGGCTTAGTGGATTCTCCAATTTTTAAATCAATCTTTCTCTGTTTGAATAATGGAATGTTGTCATTTATATCCTGCACTGTTACTGCTACACGGAAAATATTCAGTGGGTTTTCAGCGACAGTATCGAAGTCCAGAATACACAGAGGTTTCATCCCGCAAATCTGCTCTCGGTCTATCCTGTCACTCACAAGTAAGTCCCCGCTCTCAGGGTTTACAGTGAAATATTCCTTCTCCGCGCTAACCCGCAGCTTCCGGGCCGGCAAGTCCCGGACACTGAGCCCCAGGTCCTTGGCGAGATTTCCTACCACCGAGTTCTTGGCCAGCTCCTCGGGAACGGAATAGCGGATTTGGTCTGGGAGAGCACCGCGGAACAAAGACAGCAGAAAGGACAACAATACCTGCCGCCACCGCAGCTGGCTGCTCCTCTCCGCGCTGGGCCGCATCCTCTGTTTCCCTCCGCGGCTGCTCTGCTCCTTGGTCGGAAGGAGGAATAAGCTCTCCGTGGATGGCACAATCCGGGATAGGAACACTGTCCCTGCTTTCCTTTTCTGTAACCGGATCTGTACTGGCCTCCTCAGTGCGGTTGCTATGAGCAGGAAGTTACCCTCTAAGAAGCGTCTCAGATGTCTTCTCGCTCTTCTTTGGACCTACAGCGACGCCCAGAGGTTTTCCCGTGAAATTGCTCCAATGTCTTAGAAATGTTTTGCAAAGAACTATTTTCCCTCTTTTGGATTTATAAAGAGTATTTCTTTGTTTTTAAATAGGTACACAGTCATATAGTTCCAAATTCAAAAGGTATCTAGGGCATATTCTATGGGCTCTCCGTCTCTGCTTTGAACAA